TTTTTTGTTATTTGGGCTCAACATTGTTGAGCCGTATATCTATTTTTATTTTTGCATTTTTTTGATATCTTAAAAATGTTTGTGTGTTTTTTTTTTAACAGGGTCGTTATATCAGTCAGCAATTACAGAAATCTATAGAAAATATATACACATGTTAGTACATGTGGAAAACGATACAGTTGCGTTCAAAGTGAACATAAATAATTATAAATTACAAAGAATTAAAAACAATATTATTTAATTTTAACGCTTTTTCTGTTAAATTGACGTTTTCAAAATACAATATTCTGTTTCTCATTATTAAAATTACTGTCTTCAATTTAATCAATATTTCTACGTTGAGTTTCTAAACGAAATCAACACTTTAAGTAAATCTTGTTTTAATTAGTTTCGAGCATGATCTAGACATTCACGGTTACGCATACCTAATATACAATGCAGTCAAATATTGTAGAATAAAATCAAGAGTGGTAACTAGCAACTAATTTCAAGGACTCATCAATCGAAAGATATAGAGGGTATGCGAGGGAACAATGAATTTTGATAAGCCCGTTAACATACTCGTATTATTATAATACTGCAATAATAGTGGCGCGTTACGTACAGTATTGATTGGCAGGTCCACAACGAATTATACGCGAACGTTATTCCTCCCCCGTAATGCGAATGGAATATTTCTCTCTACAAAAAATGCTGCTAAATCAAAGATCACGAGAAAACTTATAAATATTCATCGAGCCCTGTCGTATTATTTTTTTTTCACCATCTCCGTTTCGTTGACGTTGCGTGCGGTACTTGGTGCGTTTTCGTGAGTCCCACGGGATATCGTCATCGCCGTTGCCGTCGTAGCCGCGCCGTCAGGGAAAAATCCCCATGTCTGGGGATCAAAAATATATATATGAACAATACGGGAAAGAAAAAAAATGAAAATAATAATAAAAGTAAAAAGACGGTAATTGGAACGGAATTAGGATGCGAGGGCAATCTTTGTTGAGTGAAGTACGACGAACCGTGACAAGTATTCGCAGTGCGAATAAACGCAGCCACCGCGCGGGTTGAGTACGCGCGAGGGATCGGTAAACCCCGATTAAATAATAAAAAGCTTTTAATCCGTAAAAAATAAATACGGGTAGATGCCCATTAAGATAAAAATAATACAAAAAAAAAAAACCCGTCGGATTATAAAATATGCAGGTTGGCAGTCCGCAAAAATGTGTACCTCGACTTTTTTTTTTGTGTTTTGTGTTTTCGGGCGTTAGTCCTCCTTATTAACAGCCGAGCTTAACACGAACTTACACAAAGTGTTTGGTACAGAGCGCGTGAAAATGTACATTAACAATAAGTCCCACGCCACCGCATCTTATCGGCTCTTCGGAATCTTATGGATACCATTAAATTAGGCGTATTTATTTAAAATTTTATTTGAAAAATAAAAACTTTTCTCGTCGTACGACGCGAAAAAAAATGAGAAGAAGAGAAAACGATAGCAGTTCTCCATTTGTGTTGTTGCAGTAGCAGTAGCAGTATTTATCAGGCGCAGTTATTATCTTATCTAAACCAAAACAGCCCTTCGCGAAGAACGCGCGCTCCTATGTCAACTAACATACTGTGTCGCTCGTTTTCCATACATACATGTAGGATCGATTGGTTGTTCCGTCACGAATGTTCTCAAAATACTCGTAGCTTAGTCTCGATGATAGATGGAAACAAATATTGGCTTGTAAAACATAGTAATAACGAAGAAGTATTATTACGATACGTATCTTAAGAATCCAAATCAACCGATTTGAAAGAAAAAACAACGGTTAAAACATGGATTACGTTTCTAAGACAATACAATATCTAAACCCTAATATACATTGACACCAATGACGTCACTTGTCTCAACATTTTAGCTGCGTTCAAAAATCAAAAAACATCCGAAAAACTCAATATTTTAAAAAAGTTTTATGTCGAATTGCGTATGTCTGAAATAACGGTGACATACTCGTATACGTTTAAACAGTGCATTCGGTAAAAACCAAACCTACATCGTTGATTAGTATACAGGGAGTGTGTAGAAAGATATTTCTCGTGATCCTGCCACATGAATTCGCTCTTGGACAAATACGGTACTATGATTGAACACCGATCACACACTGTTACGCAGTGTTTTCCCACGAATCGACATGGTACCATAACGTGTCGGTCGATCGATTGTGTTAATCGTTCACCATATTACGTCACGGATGGACTTGGATACAAAAAAAAAAAAACGAAAACCCACAAACGCCGTTGCGTTTGACGTTTGAATGGAAGCCAAAATAAACATATGAGTACAGCTCCGCGTCGCCACAACGTGTAGGTAATCGCGGCGGTAAAGGAGCGAAGGGAATTGGAAAAAAACGTATGCGTGTGAACGAACGATTTATGTCATCCCGATGGTGCGACAAACTATCGAAATGGTGCGCCGAGAATAAGCTGTGTACTAACAAGATATTATAAGATATTTTCATGCTCCGAGTAATAGACGTACATATTTTCCGTTGAAATTCGTACGACGAGTATACGTATATCGTATAGTGTAAGAGTGCGAATACTATGCGCCGTGAGAGGCGTTTCAAGAGACGTACACGACTTTGCCGTTGGAATAAAACTCCTGTTGGACGGACGGTATTGTTAAAGGTACGATGTATCTAGGGCGCGACTGTGTCGAGTCATCAATATCTGGTTTTACGAAAATTGTGTATAATGGTTGGCAAGGCGTGACACGTCGCAACGATCAAACTTTGGGTTGTCGCGGTCGAGTGGAGCACTATCGTGTGTCACGTTGTGATGACCATATGCACCATATTACTATGACGTCGAAATTAATTTTTTCTCCATCGGATGATGAAATCATCGTACGAGAACTACAAAAAAAAATCTTTTTTTAATAAATTGTTGACGAAAATTATAAAAATTACAAAAATAGTAAAATATCAAACTAATCACGAATAACTAGAATAATTCCTCGACATTTAATTCCGTTATTTGTTAAATGTCTGTCGGTTAATTTTTCAAAAAAGCCCTCACTAGGACGATTATCAAATATTTTATCGGCTGGATTTATTTCTGTCGGTTTCGGATCAAAAAATATAATGTTTTCATTCTCTTCGTCTAACAGAAGAGTTAGAGTGTTGTTTTTATAGTATGCTTGTTAATTTAATTTAAAATTATACATATATATATTTATAAAATAAGAATACTGACGCAGTAGGTACTCAAACGGATTATACGCAAAATATATTTCATGATTGTGACAAAATTAACAAGTCGCTGCGATATGTCGTGTCTCGCAAACACACTCCGTTTAAATTACGCTGTGACATGTCGCGCTTTGGTAACCGTACCATGATGTATGACGGGTATATACGATATTGGACTCTCGGCGGTGTAAAAATACTCTCGAAACAAAATAAAAAAAGGAAAGAAACGATGAACGTTTGTTTGAAAATTATAATATTCATCAACTTTCGGAAAATTTCAAAAACAATTTTATTTCGTTAGTTTGTGTTTGAATATTAATTTTGTCTGTACCTAACCACTAACCTTTATGTACCTATTGTATGCGTAGCGTCTGTTGTACTCAAATCGTTCGTAAACAACGAACAAGGTTTGTGTGCTTTCCGTTCCAGACGACTTATATATATACTTATATATGTCTACTGCAGTATGCATGTAGTGTTTTCGATTTTTTTTTTAACCAATACCGATGGGGACGTAATGGGAACAACTCGTCGTCACGCGCCAAGGTCTAGTGCGGTGTATTTCAAAATAATCGAGTACGCGTCCTCTTTTCGTTAAGACAACACAGTTTACGGTACTTATTGCAATCGTACGTACAACATATTTATTTATACTATTGCAGTATATCGAGGCTCTTCAGTGTTAAAGTTGAAAATTCTACAGTAAAATACTTAACACGAAACAAGACGGCCATATAAGTATATGTGTATTTAACACGTCAAAACAAGTCGTTTCGTGTCAAGTCCAATACCCTAAGCATAAGAAACTTTGATTTCATTACAAAAAATCTATTTTTGTCAGGAATCCTTCAAAAATTAAATTTATCAATTTTAACGATGGTCAAAACGATCGTGTTGCGAACAGTTAAACAACAATACAAAAATAAGTTAACAATTTGTACTCGTGGACACGCCCATAACGTTTATCGTACTCGTCTCGATTTCAGAAATCGCGCTGCAGCACCGTTTCGCACGTTTTGTTGTACGTTACGCGTAGGATGCACTGTGGTCGTCGGTGGTTGTAGGGCACTTTGTACGGTCACCCAGAAAAAATGAAAACCGCGGATAGTTTGTATTATTTCAGAAAGTAATTAAATGTATATGGCAGACAGTTTGTATTATTTCAGAAAGTAATAAAATTTACATGGCGGACATTTTGTAATATTGTCTATTTCGGGTAAACAAAAATGTTGGGACATGAACTGTTAGACATAATTTGTAATAAATTTGGGTTATGTACAAGCTTCGTGAATTTTTAAAACATTCACTGTCAATTATAAGTCATAAATTATAATAATATATACATTTAAAAATTAAAATTACGGCAAATTATTTCAAGTAATTGTGTATTTGTTATTATTTTATTTTCGTGCTGTACACAGGCTTCGTGAATTGTGTTTTGTGTGTTCGGGTTTTTTGTTTACGTTTTTGTTTAAATGACTAGCACATTCATCCAATTTCAAAGGTTTTGGATAATCCTAAATTTCGTATTTGTCTCCATACGATTTACAACTTATAACTCACCGATTCATAGAGGTTTGTAGTAACTTTCCCCATACAAGTGACTTTTGAATATTTCCAACGTATATTAGATTTGTTTTTTCTTAAAATTGTATATACATACACGTTTTTAAAAATGTTTGGGTTCAGTTTAGTAGTTTGGTTTTTGTTCATTTTATATTATCTTAGAGTGGATAGGTTATGTAATACTTCTAATACTGTGATACCAAACACATGTCTTATACTGATCTCGATCATGATTCGCAGTCTAAAGTTTTGAGCAATTTAATTTTATCTTATCTCTTAAAATATATTTCCCGGTTTATTTATACTGTACAAAACGTCCGCGATCGAATTTTACCAGTTTATTATCACCGTACATAGTGTTCGCAATATGCAACTCAAACAATAGATAGTACAAACTGTTCGTTTACCATTGCCGGTGCATCGATTGCGCATCCTAAACGTTACGCGGACGCGCGAGACAGTGCAACACGGTCGAATACGCTCGCGGGACTTTTGTTGTCCAAAGGCATAACA